TCCCAGGCCTAGCAGGACTGGTTGGCCAAGCATGGCTGAGATCTTGACTGTAACAGTGCTAAACGTACAACAGTTTCAAAACCACAACAGCTGCGTGCCCTCGCTATATGATAAACATGAAAACCTACCGCAGTCGGGAGCTTTTCAGATCTACCGCTGTGTACTCCTGCGCTGGGAGATAGCTGGGCAGAGCCGAGAGGGTGGGTGCTGCCAGCTGGGGATGGAGCCTGCTCAGGAGGTCCTGGCCGGTCGCCTGTTCCGCTGGGTCTGGAGACGTGGCTCCTGATGGCTCAAGGGTAAATTCTGGGTCTCCAACGCTCACCAGGTCTGTCTTCCTGCAGCTCAAGGGATCTCATAGCTGCATCTCACAGCGTAGGGCCATCTCTAACTGGGGCGTCAGGGACCTCGGTCTTACAGCGGCCATCTCCGCTGCAGGAAAAGCTACAGCAGCACCAAAGCCTGCTTATCTAGGACGTTGGAGTGAACTGGTAATTGCAATTTAGCCTAAAAGGGGCGGGTTTTCTTTGTTTTGAGTGTTTCTCAGAGTTTCCATCACACCACTCCATGCAACAGTGAAAAGCAGCAGCCTGAGCAGGCACACAGAGGCATTGCTGGCAGTCAAGGCACTGTTAAGAGCATTTCAAAAATGCCTTAAATTTGGCTTACCTGGGAGCAAAGCTCAACTCTTCTCAGTGGAAGGTTTTCTTTTTTCCCAAAAGTAGAAGTCTCAAAATGTGGAAAGCAGTTAAACAAATTCTAGCTTTGTAACAGTTTAATATTGTTGATTTCTCTTTTTCATCAGCAGTCTTCAGTGAGCATTTAGTCCCTGTGAATATCTACTGATCTGCTTTACTCATTTCAAGGCCTTGCAAATGAATTAATTTACTGGTCTAAACTTTTGTCAGAATGGCACCAGCAGAAGTGCGGCTGATGCAAACTGTCACCATCGGTCCTCCGGCAATCCAAGTGTTGCATTTATTTCTAATAACTTCTTGAAAGCCACACAATCCATGTGTGCGTTGACTCGAGAGCCACACTACTCATGTACCTATTTTGCGTGATCGGGGCTTAAAAGCTGGAAGGACCATTTTGGCACAGGAAGTACACAAACTTACTGTGAAATCGGAAATCTAATGCACTCCTGTGCTCCTGAAAACAAGTCAGAAACCAAGCTGCTGTTTTTGTTAACGTCGTACAAAGGGAAAAATGTTTTCTGACAGCTTTTTCGCATTCCTTCATTGCGGAGGACTGGTTTGTTTTGCAAACCATTTTCTTTTGAAATGCAAAATTCTATCTTTCCTGGAAGACCCAAGCATGAACTAAACCCTTACTGAGCGGCTATGCAGCAGTAATGTTTTCTTCTATTTAACATGCTTTACTAAGTAATAATTCATCGTTTGCTAGCAATTGAGAACTGATTTTTCTTCCAGCCATCCACACCTTCTTTAATCCGAGTTAGTACTAAAAACATTTTTAGCAAAACAGGACAACTGTGCTCCTGGATTAACTCAGTTTGTGTGCAGAAAGGAAGAACGGTTTGCAAGCATCAGCAATTCAGTTCAGGAAAAAAAAAAAAAGAAAGAGCCTGACATGACTCAAGTGTCTCCGAAACATTAGGCTCTGCCTTCCCTCTTGAAAGCAGTGCTGCTTACGTATTGTCCTGCTACTGGTTACCTGTGTTTCCTAGGGGGCTTGCAGATGTTTTATCATAATCATTCCCTGAAACAACGGAGGGAAAAAAAAAAACCAAAGGGGGAATAGAAAAAGAGTAGAGAAGTTAACTTACGCAGCAAGTGTGAAGTGACAGACAGAGTTACTAGCAACCAGAGCTGCTACCCGAGATAGCAGAAAACAGACCCGTGCATTCGCACAAACGCAAATTTGAAATAAAGGATTAAAAAAAAGTGTCGCTTGGGCAACGAAGCAGTAGGATCAGCCCAGTCTGCTCTCTTCATTTACAACCTCTCTGCATCACGTAACCTGAGAATAAGGCATAAGGAAAAAGTAACACACACAAATAAAATGGAGGATCCTTAACCCTCTGTTACAAACAAATCAAGTGTACGGCACAACGTTTGCTCTACGGATTATATAAAACGTTTATTAGGAAGTAAAGTGCTCAGTTTTACAGATCAATACATTCTTGACCATTGTAGAAGGCTTGCATAATTAACAGCTTCCTAATAAGACCAAACACTGTATATCACTATGCAAAAACCTTACCTTTGTAATAACTGACAAATGATATTACAATTTTAAGTTGAAAAAGGCAATAATACAATGTTTGTAACACTTTTCAAGTGGCCATGGGCTTACTGCAGGGCCCACTGTCAACACGCACGGGTAACCCCTGAACATTTACTGCACTTCAAGATGAAGTTTGTTATTAAGTAACGACACGCTACAGAAATATACCTCAACCAATACAGCCACGAAGGCAAACATTTTCGTAATAAACACATACTACACCTAAAAGATGAACTGCGGGATTGAATGTACATTTTTGAAAGATACATTTTTTTTTTTTTTACAGGAAACCTATTTAAAACCATACCGATAGGTTTAGGTTTGCTTCCTTTCCCCTGGGAAGGCCCTGCCTCACCAAGAGATGACCACTAAATCACCCTCGCTGCCACAAACCTCAGCCTGCCATCATCTGCTCCGCAGGCCACAGCCACAAACACAAGGCATTCTTAGTACGGTTCCCGCTGATTGCTGGACAACTCAAGTTGGGTCATTTGGCCAAAGTCATTCTGAAGCACATGGTTATTTAAATACTATCTTAGCATTTACGTAACCCTTGACCCTATCAGCCCACCACCAATTACATGTTACATACATGTAATTAGTTAGCATGCCTCATGTCATACCAACATGCTACACATTTCGGATATGAACATAAACACAAGGCTACGTATATTTAAATTGCTTTGCATGGTATTTTCTATTTTCCTCACACACCAGCTGGCCATGTGTACAGCGGGTGAGTTTTTTGGTTGGTTGGTTGGTTTAGAGTCAGAAATGCCCGTTCAACATGGAAAAGCTTTCCTCAAGAAGCTTTAAGGTCTATAAACTTTCAATCAAGGCAAGACAGAGCTCAGTCTGAGTGTCTCCCGTTTCACACAAATGCCCTAAGCACCATGCTGTGCGCTCCTCTGGGAAGCTGACGGGCTCTCTTGTGAAAGGGTATGAATTTCTTCCCAGTGCAGGCAAAGCAACTCACAGAAAGGAAAAATACTTCACAAGAATCACAGCCTGCTTTCCCACGTCGTTTTGTTCTGGAGCCAAAGCTACTAAGAAATTCCGATCTCTACACTCAACTTCCTCCTGTTCCACCTTACGCTGAGTTTCGGTGCATGCAATTTCTCATAAACTCAAAAACAGGGAAGGCGTGAAATCCGTGTAGTTTTAGCAAGTTCTCTGGTTAGAGGGAAGGCATTCTGAGTCACTGTACATCCAGGCAATGCAGTTTTAAGAACATATACAAGATGTAAGCTTTGCCTAAGCAGTATTACCACAAGAATGAGGTGCTAACCCCTGGCAACAACTGCTTTTTGAGACAAAAAGCACCAATTTAACATATACATGATACTTCTATTTTTTAATAGGCATTTTTTCCTCTAATGTGCCTGATTATGTAGCTTTCTGTTTTCCGTTACACGACCTCTAAGGCTTTAAATACAAGGCAAGTGCCATCTTCAGGAAAAAAGCACAATTGACAACCTAAACTGGCATTCTGCACACGGAAACATACTCCTAGACAAAACTACAAACGCTTTGCCTCACTGTTTTGTACAGCAAGCCAACGTGATCTGTGTTGCATCTCCTTTCAAAAAGAAAGCTTCTCTGACACAGAGGGGAAATGAAATACTCAACACCAGGGATTATACCACAAACACCTTTCCAAAGGAATCGCTGCTGCATCTCGGCAGAAGAGCATATGTAGAAATACACCTCATGATTTTACAAGCGGTTCTGTTAAGTGTAAATACAGACTCCATAGTTGAGATATGATTAGAACTTTGATAGAGCTTGAGACAGGATTTTCCCAACTGTCAGCAACTTCTCTGCCCCCTTCCCTGTCACACCCGAGGAAGAGTTAGTATTTTTCAATTTTGTGTGCTTGTAAAGAATGTATTTTAAGTATTAAAGTAACCATATTTACTTAAGAGCCTGTGAAATATTTATCCCTGGAACACTTAGATCGTGCAAACGTAGCATAAAAAGAGGGCACTTTACAACAAAGCTGACAATGGTTACATTAATTGGGGGTGAAGACGCAGTTCTCAAATATTTTGAAATGCAAAAACCACAAAATGCATATAGTTTCTATTACAGAATAATGTGATTTACAGTTGTACAAACTAAGTGCACTTTCTTCTTTTTAAAGAAATGCAGTATTTTTCAAAGACAGGAAAAAAAAAAGAGCATTTTAAGTTAATTTAAAAGTTAGTACACAAAGTAACTCAAAAATAGATAGAAATTCAAAGTAAAAAAAAAAGTGCTATTTTATCTCTTTGAAAAGTGTCAGCTGTTACAACGAATGAGATAATAAACTGATGCCACCGTGTTTTGAAAACTGCTTTTGAAAGCATTTAAAAATCGTATTTTCAAACAGAAAGCAGAACACTTAACAGCCTTGAGTGGTTTAGCCACAACACATTATTTTGCCTGAAGCATGCTGCCTTCATGAAAGTGTTCCCCATAATACATGTATGGAACCAAAATTCTCTTCAGGTAGATTTTGTCCCACCCGGTTTCCATTCTCTCTCCTGCATTTTCCTTGCCAAGGCTGACAGTCTCACTGTTGGTAACCTGACCATGACACGTGGCTTACATAGGTCTGAAAATGCTTTATGAATATTTACTTCTGCCCAGTAGTGAAAATTGTCCTTACTGGTCTGATCAGGGTGACCACCTCTTGCTGGGAAACAGTCGAATAGTGTATTTGCTGGCTTTATATGGACCTGAAACATTCAGAATCACCTCCAAAGTTAATCCTACACATGGATGTTATTCCCCCCATTTCCTCCACCCCCATCAATACCATCTGACTGGGAGGAAGACGGCCGGGAGTTCCTCGAACGAGACTGGCCATTCAGTCCAAGCGGTGTTCCCAACCGATGGCTCATCTGGGATGCCGTATCATCCGATTCCCATCGCTCCAACTCCTCTCGTACAAGTCGTTCCATTTGCTCCCTGTGGATTTCATTGTCACGACCCAGTCTTTCATCCTAAATAGATTAAAAGACACAAGTTGGAAGTGCAGCTTCCAAACTGCAGTCTAAGCACAACACTATACAAACGCGGGGAATTCCTACACCACACAAGTATTTCCATAGACTAGTGGAGAAACACAGATACTGCAGTAAATTGTTTTCTTTCCAGTGATGTAATGTTGCCACCTTCACTTAGGAAAGCACAATTTGTATTATAGTTTCTAATATTTAAATTCACCTCCAGAAATGTAAAATATACTGAGGAAATCACACCCACATGGAAGCCGCATCTCAAGAATCAAACAGAATTATTGACTGGAACACCAGTACAGCCAGGAACACCATATCTGTGACAGGACAGCTCCATGTCTGACCTCCATAGCCCACCAAGACAGTCCATCATGCCCAGTCCTTAAAAGTCCTGTTCTGGCTGTTCTTGCCCCACCAGGAAGCTGACAGGTTTTAGCATCCACAGAAATAACACATCCCAGTGGCCACTTCCAAAGGGCTCTCAAGAAAGAGGAGGTGGGAGGGGAGACAACAGGCACTCTACAACCCTGCTGAGAGAAGTGACCTGCATCCACCTGCCACACACAATCCCAGAAGCAATATGGTAGTAGAGCAGACTGCAACAGGCCTGCTGGGCCAGATCCCCCAAACTTTAACAGACTAGTCCATAAAAAGTTTTGTATTAATCCTAACAGAGACCAAGGGATGAACTGCTTCAGCAAGTACTGAACACCACTGCTGTCCAGTTCAGGGGTTTAAATGGTGCTCTGTCGCCTCAGCATGACAGAGGCCTGCTGCAAGATGGCTTGTCATATCTTCAACTTGCATCACGTCCCTAACATTTCACATTGTTAACATTGCATGTTTTCCTAATACAAACCTGAAATCACTTGGCCCCTGCTAAAGCACCCACCTCTCCTTTACCACCACCCTCAAGCCTCCCAAGCCAGGCAGCAGGAAGAAGCGCTAAGAGTCAGTAAGCCACGCAGGCTGTGGCCAGACAGGACAGAGCGGGTTTCTTACCTCTGTCACTCCGTCTAACAGCCTTCCCAGCACATCTCTCCTTTTCAGTTTGGCTCTCTCCATCGCTTCGAGCTTCACAATAACCGCATCGATCTTGGAGACAATACTGCCAATAGAATGCTCCATGCGATCTACCCGCCTCATGAGCCTGAGGGCAACAAGGGTGAGCTCCAGTGACTCTGACATTCCCGAGTCAGTATCGCTCCAGCATGCCAACGCAGAGCGGGTAAGGACAAAACGGCATTTTAATTCGAGCACGCATCTGACTTTCCACAAATGAGCCCTACTGCCCAGGAAAGGATAAGGTACACAAGAGCAACAAGATAACACAGACAAAACTGATGGGGAAAACAGTACATATTCCAGTCTGTTCTCTCTGCTTTTAAGGCATTCTCATCAAAATCTGGTGGTTCTAGGTACTCAAATTCTTTATTCAGCTGGTGTAGCTATAAGTAACATGGAGATCTGTAATTTTAGATAAAATGCACACTCACAAGTAACTTAATCTTATTAAAACAAACAAACAAACAAAACAAAGTTCTCACTGAACCTAAAACAATCTCAAGGTTTTACTACTAAAAAACCCCCAAAGGGTCTTCTGGCGTTATTGTAGCATGACCATTTTCTGTCCTTTCAAAGACCAGGTTTTAAGGACAGGGTTGTTTTGGGTTTTTTTTGGTGGGGTTTTTTTGTTTGATTTGGTGTTTGGTTTCCAACTGATTCCCATGAACCTCTCTAAAGTACTCCAGTTCAGCTATTATTTGAAAGTTACTAAAAGAAGCAACTTAAGCACCTTAAAAACCATAACATTTACTTTTATGAATAATTTTATTAGTATTCAGAGTTATAGGAGGGGCTACTATATAACTGAAAGAAGAAAACACACAAGGAAAAAAAAAGTCAAACCCCAAAACATGCAGGATATCCTCAGAAGGATAAACTTACACTTGGAACTCTTCATAGGAAACCCCACTAGAGCTGCTGCCTCTCCTCCTGGAGCTGTGTCCGCTGTCTTCATCCTCATCCTCCTCGGAGTCATCCAAGCTCCGGGGGAAGCTGCGGCTGCTCAGAGGACGTGGCAGAGAGCTCCTATCCAGGTCCAGATCCTCCTTTGAGGAAACACAAGCAACAGAGAAGATGCAAAGACTTTCACCTGTACACGGGGGATGGGCGTGTCAAGGTCGAAGACCTCCTGCCCTCCATCAGCTCCCCCCTGGCCTTTTTACAGTTCTGCTCAGACAGCCAGGGATGAGAGCAAATGTGAAGGGAAACAAGAGGATTCTTCTGGGGCAGCAAACCAGCACGGGGAGAAGCTTGGCAGACAGCACTGGTGGCATACCACTCCTAACACTCACCCTCTCTTTCTCCAGGTCATCTCTCATCTGCTGATGTTCATGCTCTGTCAATTCCTGGTCCCCATCCTGGTCATACTTGGTAAATATTGCTTCAATCTCTGCATCTGTGTGCCCCTTCCTGAAAAGGCAGGAAACACAGTTCCCTTGCCTTCCATTTTTTCAGATGCTGAATGAACTTCAAGTACTAGAAAAACACTTCACGACAAACAGACTTTCATCCCCAAGCCAAAAGACACGACATCCCAGTGCTGCCTATAAATTCATAACACCGACAATAAAAAGCTCAGCCCTCACCTTTCATTAGTTAACAGCACTAACCTCCCCTAGTAGACTGCACCCTGCTCCTTCACAAACATCCCGTTTATACCGCCTTGATTTGTTCGCTTTCCTTGGGCTCCTGCCTGTTTACAAACTCCTGCAGTGGCTTTGATTGAAACATCACTGTTTCCACAAAGGCCTCAGACCTCTGCTTCCTCATACCCTTTCTCCCCCACAACACAGCAATCCCAGGAGGTTGGGCCCCAGAGCACCAAATCCTCTGACCCACTGCAGCAGCACCATCCGGAGTGCAGACTCCAGGGGCCAGAGCTCAGCAGCCTTCCTTGGTTAAGGCTTCTCCTTCACCTCACACTGACCATCCTTTTCCCACTCCTCTCTTCCCCTGCAGTTCCATGCCACAGTTTGGATTTTCTTCTGTGCAATGCCTGCAGACCCATATGCAAAGACTCTTTAGCTGTACGCATCTGTTTGTTTACATAAACCTCCCACCAGATACAGGAAAAGCACATAATTTGTTACTCACTAGCCAAGAGAAAACTACTGTGCTGTGTTGTCTTCACTCACATTAGTGTACTCCTGCCACATCACAGAAGCAAGGCAAAGACTTAACATCACATGCCTCTGAGGATGCTAGTCAAGATAAAAACCAACAGCTTCCTTACCCTTTAAGATCTTGCCGGAGTTCATCAAAATTTAGTTTTCCTCCACCTTGCCTCAGACTTTCTGAAATATCATCAACAGTAGTTTTCTTCAGTTTCAGTTTGATCATGGCTTTGTTGTAGCCCTAAAAGGAAAAGTAAAATTTTGTGTTTTACTCATCATGAAATGTTAACACTTGATATCCAGTAAGTTTCTGGATTACAAAAATCAGCTAGTATAACGCTATCGTTCAGCGTGTTCCAAAAGCCCTGCAAGAATCTGTTTTCTCCAGTTTACCCACCTTTATTTCAGCATTTAAATGGGCCACAAAAATATCTTTGCAGTTAGACTTAAGGCTTTCATCATTCAATTTGCACTGCAGATCAGTAGGAATGGAGTATTTTGTCCCACTAAGACACCTCTGGCAGTTACTGGCAGTTTTAAATAATGCTGACAAGAGAGGTACAACTTTTTGTGGTCACTTTGCTTATCTCTCATTCTTCAGTTGTAAGAATGACTTGTAAAAAAAGTCCTCGTCCCAAAGCAGCACTTTTCATTTTTTTCTGCTCTGTTCTAATAACCAGTTTCAAGTCTGAAACTCTGAGTTACCAGTCATGCTGAGTATGTGTTTAGACATCTCTGACC